GGGGGTAAAAGGGAATGTGGATGTTTCCAGGGCTCTCCCTGTGGGGTATGGTGGGTGTGCCTCACGAGGCTGCTGGGGCAGTTGTGCCAGGAATAAAGAAGGGCTAAAGGGGCTTTCTGGGGGGAGGGGCTTAAGGCTCAGACAAGAGGATTGGTGAGGGCAAGGGAGTCCAGACCCAGGGGCACCTGGGGTTCAGGGAAGTCTGTGACTAAGGCTAGCGGGGGTCCTTGTGCTGAGGGATGGGTCTGGCATGTACCTCGTCTGTGTTTCAGGGGTATCCTGAAGTGGCCGGACGGGCGGAATCATGTGGGGAATTTCTGCCATGGCCTGGAGCATGGGTAAGAAGGCTGGCTGGGGCTGCTCTGGAGTGTGTGTGGTGGGCAGGGGAGTGATTTTCTCCCCTGCTGTGGTTACCAGCCTGGTGCTATCCTAAATTCTCAGTGCAAACAGGAATTTAGAGACTATCTGGTTCACCCCTGCTCATTGTAGAAAGGGGGAAACTGAGGGCCTGAGTAGGGGGTGGTTCTCAGCTTGAGGTCATGGAGGGAGGTGGTACAGGACCAGAAGGTGCTCCCAGGGTCATGGGGGCAGGATGGAGGGAGGGGTGTCCTGAGAGGGGCCCTTGGGAAGAAGAGAGGGGCTGAGCACCTTTGAGATTCTCCCCATCGTCTGAGAAGGCTTCTTGGAGGCAGAGACACTCGAGTAGCATGGAGGAGGTGTGTCAGGGCATCTCAGGTCAGGGCTGCCCAGGGAGGTGGGCCGGTATTGACTTCCCACCCTGCCCTACCACACCTGGTCAGCTTTGGCATCCGCCTGGTGCCCCAGGCCGCTGAGGACAAGTTCGAGTGTTACAAGTGCCACTGGTGGGAAGGCAACATGTGTGGCTATGGCGTCTGTGAGTAAGTGACCCCTTGGCCTGATGGGGGGCGGGGGCTCCTGGGATGGGCATGTCCTCTGGGCTAAGTTCTGTGAAGCAGGGCCGGCTGTTTTGTTGCTCTCCAGGTACAGCACTGATGAGGTGTACAAGGGCTACTTCCAGGAAGGCCTGCGGCATGGGTTTGGTGTCCTTGAGAGCGCCCTGCAGGCCCCCCAGCCCTACAAGTACACGGGCCACTGGGAGCGGGGTCAGAGGAGCGGCTATGGCATCGGGGAGGATGGAGACAGGTTAGCACCACCCACAGTACGGAGGGGACACCGCCCTGCCTCTGAGGGGCAGAAGGGATAGGCCTTGCCCTGGGGTCTGAGGGGACACACCCTGCCCTGGAGTCTGAGGGGACCTACTCTGAGGTATGAAGGGACACACCCTGCCCAGAGGTATGAAGGGACACACCCTGCCCTGGGGTCTGAGGGGACAGGGTCCTATCCTGGAGGCCTGAAGGGCAGACGTTACCCTCACAGACCAAGTTGTCTCAGATATGTACCACAGGCTTCCTGAGGTACAGCCCCCAGAGTCTCTTCAGCCCCTCACTTCTTCTCCACTCCCTCGTTCAGTGCTGTGGCACAGGCTGAGGGAACCCAGACCTCCCTGACTGCAGGACTGCCCCTCCACTCTGGCCCCCTCCTCATGATTCTGAGCCCTAATCAGTCCCGTCTTAGGACTTTGCCCTTCCAGGCTCTCCGGGCCATGGGACAAAGCCCAGGTCCTTGACCCGGCATTGGAGGCCTCGACTACCCCTCTGACTTCAGCCCTGCAGTGACCCCATGCGCCCCTCCAGCCTTTCTGGACCATTGAATGTCCCTACATATCTGTCTTATGTTCCCACCTCCATGGCTTTGCCCATGTGTGTATTGCACCCCTACTCTAACTGTCCTTCCTGCCATTTCCCCCAAGAAGCCTCCCAGGATGCCTTCTTCTACCTTCTCTTCCCCTTGTGGGTACTGACTGAACCTGTCCCGTGTCTGAGTTGAATGAGTTCAAGTGTGTCACTGGGCTCAGCTGGCATGGGGTGTAGGGTGGAGTGCAGATCCAACTCTGGCCACACCCCCTCCTCCCCCAGGGGCGAGCGCTATATCGGCATGTGGCAGGCTGACCAGCGCCATGGCCTGGGGGTCGTGGTTACCCAGGCAGGCGTCTGTTACCAAGGCTCCTTCCAGGCGGACAAGATAGTGGTGAGTGGGGTGACCTGTGTGTGTCCTGAGCTGCCCCTCTCCCTGCACTCAAGGCTGGGCTGGAATTCTGAAGCTTTTCTTCTCTGGGGCCCTGAAGCTGAGCTGATGCCAGTCAAGGGTGGATGGGGCACGAAGCTGGTTCCTGGGTGCTGGGGGAAGCTGAAACCTGGGCAGGAATCTAGCTCTGCCACCCACCTACCCTGGCTGTCTTAGTCATCTAGTGCTTCTATAACAGAAATACCACAAGTGGATGGCTTCAACGAACAGAAGTTTATTCTCTCACGGTCTAGTATGCTACAAGTCCACATTCAAGGTGTCAGCTCCAGGGGAGGGCTTTCTTTCCCTGTCAGCTTTGGAGAAAGGTCCTTGTCATCAATCTTCCGCTGGTTGAGGAGCTTCTCAGTGCAGGGACCCCAGGTCCAAAGGACGTGCTATTCTCCTGGCTCTTGTTTCTTGGTGGTATGTGGTCCCCAACTCTCTTCTCGCTTCCCTTTCCTTTATCTCTTGTGTAAGATAAAAGGTGATGCAGGTCGCACCCCAGGGAAACTCCCGTTACGTTGGATCAGGAATGTGACCTGAGTAAGGGTGTTACATCCCACCGTAATCCTCTTTAACATAATCTAATCTTGCCTCATTAACCACAGGCAGAGATTGGGATT